TATACTGTCACACCTCCACACTAACATACCACTACACAGTGACACCACTATATACTGTCACACTCCAACACTACTACACTGCAACACAGAGCCACCACTATATACTGTCACACCTCCACACTAACACACTACTACACAGTGACACCACTATATACTGTCACACTCCAACACTACTACACTGCAACACAGTGACACCACTATATACTGTCACATCTCCACACTAACACACTACTACACAGTGACACCACTATATACTGTCACACTCCACACTACACACACACAACACAGTGACACCACTATATACTGTCACACTCCAACACTACTACACTATAAACACACAGTGACACCACTATATACTGTCACACCTCCACACTAACTAATACATTACTACACAGTGACACCACTATATACTGTCACACCTCCACACTAACATACTACTACACAGTGACACCACTATATACTGTCACACTCCACACACTACACACTACTACACACAGTGACACCACTATATACTGTCACACCTCCACACTAACACACTACTACACAGTGACACCCACTATATACTGTCACACCTCCACACTAACACACTACTACACAGTGACACCACTATATACTGTCACACCTCCACACTAACACACTACTACACAGTGACACCACTATATACTGTCACACCTCCACACTAACATACTACTACACAGTGACACCACTATATACTGTCACACTCCAACACAACTACACTACTACACAGAGCCACCACTATATACTGTCACACCTCCACACTAACATACTACTACACAGTGACACCACTATATACTGTCACACCTCCACACTAACACACTACTACACAGTGACACCACTATATACTGTCACAATCCAACAATACTACACTACAACACAGGGACACCACTATATACTGCCACACTCCAACACTACTACACTACTACACAGTGACACCACTATATACTGTCACACCTCCACACTAACACACTACTACACAGTGACACCACTATATACTGTCACACCTCCACACTAACATACTACTACACAGTGACACCACTATATACTGTCACATCTCCACACTAACACACTACTACACAGTGACACCACTATATACTGTCACACCTCCACACTAACATACTACTACACAGTGACACCACTATATACTGTCACACTCCAACACAACTACACTACTACACAGAGCCACCACTATATACTGTCACACCTCCACACTAACATACTACTACACAGTGACACCACTATATACTGTCACATCTCCACACTAACACACTACTACCCAGTGACACCACTATATACTGTCACAATCCAACAATACTACACTACAACACAGGGACACCACTATATACTGTCACACTACTGACCCATGAAGATCCGGGGTAGAATAGGTCTTCAGCAATCATGCTTGCCATAAAAGCGACTTTGCTTGTCGTAAGAGGCGACTAACGGGGTCGGGTGGTCAGGCTCGCTGACTTGGTTGACACATATCATCGGTTCCAAATTGCGCAGATCGATGCTCATGCTGTTGATCACTGTCTGGTCCAGACTCGATTATTTACCGACCGCCTTCATTTAGCTGGAATATTGCTGAATGCGGCGTTAAAACTAAACTCACTCACTCACTGTCACACTACTACACTACAACACAGTGACACTACTATATAATGTCACACTACTACACTACAACACTCTCACATATTCCCATCTTCACAGACTTCAGTATCACACTTTCCAGCCATCACTATTTGTCTTACCGTTACACTACAATACTGACACACAACTACACTGCAACACAGGCAAACTGTCCTACATAGTCAAACTACTACGTTCACATGCGGTCACACTGCCATACTGTCAAAACACAACACTACATTACGCAACCACACATTCACACTGTCACACGCAATCACACTACAGCACTCTCAAACACAGTCATACTAACACACTACCAGACTGTCACACTATACACACGGTGCCAACAGACTGGTGTCACACAGCCACACCACTACACATCAATACAACCACATACTGTCACACTATACACTTGGTGTCACACAGCCACACCACTACAGTTCAATACAACCACATACTGTCACAATATAGACTTGGTGTCACACAGCCACACCACTACACTTCAATACAACCGCACACTGTCACACTACACACTTGGTGTCACACAGCCAAACCACTACACTTCAATACAACCACACCACTACACTTCAATACAACCGCATATTGTCACACTATACACGTGGGATCACACACCACACCACTACACTTCAATACAACCACATACTGTCACACTATACACTTGGTGTCACCCAGCCACACCACTACACTTCAATACAACCACACCACTACACTTCAATACAGCCGCACACTGTCACAATATACACTTGGTGTCACCCAGCCACACCACTACACTTCAATACAACCACATACTGTCACACTATACACTTGGTGTCACACAGCCACACCACTACACTTCAATACAACCACATACTGTCACACTATACACTTGGTGTCACACAGCCACACCACTACACTTCAATACAACCGCACACTGTCACAATATACACTTAGTGTCACACAGCCACACCACTACACTTCAATACAACCACATACTGTCACAATATACACTTGGTGTCACACAGCCACACAACTACACTTCAATACAACCGCACACAGTCACACTATACACTTGGTGTCTCACAGCCACACCACTACACTTCAATACAACCACACCACTACACTTCAATACAACTGCACACTGTCACATTATACACTTGGTGTCACACAGCCACACCACTACACTTCAATACAACCGCACACTGTCACACTATACACTTGGTGTCACACAGCCACACCACTACACTTCAATACAACCACACCACTACACTTCAATACAACCGCACACTGTCAGACTATACACGTGGTGTCACACAGCCACACCACTACACTTCAATACAACCACATACTGTCACACTATACACTTGGTGTCACACAGCCACACCACTACACTTCAATACAACCACACCACTTCACTTCAATACAACTGCACACTGTCACACTATACACTTGGTGTCACATAGCCACACCACTACACTTCAATACAACCGCACACTGTCACAATATACATGTGGTGTCACACAGCCACACCACTGCACTTCAATACAACCGCACAGTCACACTATACACTTGGTGTCACACAGCCACACCACTACACTTCAATACAACCACACCACTACACTTCAATACAAGCGCACACTGTCACATTATACACTTTGTGTCACACAGTCACACCACTACACTTATACAACCGCACACTGTGGTGTCACACGGTCACACCACTACAGTTCAATACAACCGCACACTGTCACACTATACACGTGGTGTCTCACAGCCACACCACTACACTTCAATACAACCACACACTGTCACAATATACACTTGGTGTCACACAGCCACACCACTACACTTCAATACAACCACATACTGTCACACTATACACTTGGTGTCACACAACCACACCACTACACTTCAATACAACCACACACTGTCACACTATACATGTGGTGTCACACAGCCACACCACTACGCTTCAATACAACCACACCACTACACTTCAATACAACCGTACACTGTCACACTATACACGTGGTGTCACACAGCCACACCACTACACTTCAATACAGCCACACACTGTCACACTATACACTTGGTGTCACAAAGCCACACCACTACACTTCAATACAACCACACCACTACACTTCAATACAACCACATACTGTCACACTATACACTTGGTGTCACCCAGCCACACCACTACACTTCAATACAACCACACCACTACACTTCAATACAACCGCACACTGTCACACTATACACTTGGTGTCACACAGCCACACCACTACACTTCAACACAACCACATACTGTCACACTATACACTTGGTGTCACCCAGCCACACCACTACACTTCAATACAACTGCACACTGTCAAACTATACACGTGGTGTCACACAGCCACACCACTACACTTCAATACAACCACACACTGTCACACTATACACTTGGTGTCACACAGCCACGCCACTACACTTCAATACAACCACATACTGTCACACTATACACTTGGTGTCACCCAGCCACACCACTACACTTCAATACAACTGCACACTGTCACACTATACACGTGGTGTCTCACAGCCACACCACTACACTTCAATACAACCGCACACTGTCACACTATACACTTGGTGTCACACAGCCACACCACTACACTTCAATACAACCACATACTGTCACACTATACACTTGGATTCACACAGCCACACCACTACACTTCAATACAACCACATACTGTCACACTATACACTTGGTGTCACACAGCCACACCACTACACTTCAATACAACCTCACACTGTCACACTAGTCAATTGGTGTCACACAGTCTCACCTTTACACTTCAATACAACCACACCACTACACTTCAATACAACCACACACTGTCACACTATACACTTGGTGTCACCCAGCCACACCACTACACTTCAATACAACCACATACTGTCACACTATACACGTGGTGTCTCACAGCCACACCACTACACTTCAATACAACCGCACACTGTCACACTATACACTTGGTGTCACACAGCCACACCACTACACTTCAATACAACCACATACTGTCACACTATACACTTGGATTCACACAGCCACACCACTACACTTCAATACAACCACATACTGTCACACTATACACTTGGTGTCACACAGCCACACCACTACACTTCAATACAACCTCACACTGTCACACTAGTCAATTGGTGTCACACAGTCTCACCTTTACACTTCAATACAACCACACCACTACACTTCAATACAACCACACACTGTCACACTATACACTTGGTGTCACCCAGCTTCACCATTACACTTCAATGCAACCACACACTGTTACACACTATCATCCCTAACTCACCTCGAATGTGCGTGTACATTGTGAGGCCCGATACCAATAGGGCATATAGCAGTCTGCAACGGAACACAGTAGATTCAGGTTAACGTATATATCTCAGTGCAACACATCAAGAATTGTTTTGAATGTTTGTAAACAATTTGAGAATTAAATCAATTAACCTTCCTAGCTGTCCCTGCTAATCCGCAGGTTCTGTTTTGGTGGGTTCACATGTCTCTAGTGATTAGTTCGACAATGTGATCTGTAAAGTTAACGTGATTCAATCTGAATGTAATATGTTATGTTTGTTTTACATCCGTCTAAATTTATTAAGGGAAATTGGTAAATATTTAGCTTTTTGCAAATACGGCTACACCACTCGATGAAAATGACCCTGCATATTTATCCTTTAGTGTTCTTTTGAATTTATTAGGGAATAATTTGGTTTTCAGTTTTGATTTTTGTAATCTGTAGAGTAGATGCTGCTGATGATATCTGGGGTCCTTGCTACAGCTGGTGTCTGGCGTCCTTGCTACAGCTGATATCTGGTGTCCTTGCTGCAGCTGGTATCTGGCCTCCTTGCTGCAGCTAGTCTATAGTGTCCTTGCTGCTGCTGATATCTGGTGTCCTTGCTGCAGCTGGTATCTGGTGTTCTTGCTGTAGCTGGTATCTAGGGTCCTTGCTGCAGCTGGTATAGTGTGTCCTTGCTGCTGCTGGTATCTGGCGTCCTTGCTGCAGCTGGTATCTGGCGTCTTCGCTACAGCTGGTATCTGGCGTCCTTGCTGCAGCTGGTATCTGGCGTCCTTGCTGCAGCTGGTATCTGGCGTCCTTGCTGCTGCTGATATATGGCGCCCTTGCTGCTGCTTATATCTGGTGTCCTTGCTGCTGCTGATATATGGCGCCCTTGCTGCTGCTTATATCTGGTGTCCTTGCTGCAGCTGGTATATGGCGCCCTTGCTGCTGCTTATATCTGGCGTCCTTGCTGCTGCTGATATATGGCGCCCTTGCTGCTGCTTATATCTGGTGTCCTTGCTGCAGCTGGTATATGGCGTCCTTACTGCAGATGGTATGTAGGGTCCTTGCTGCTGCTGCTATCTGGCGTCCTTGCTGCTGCTGTTATCTGGCGTCCTTGCTGCAGCTGGTATCTGGTGCCCTTGCTGCAGCTGATGTCTGGCGTCCTTGCTGCTGCTGATATCTGGCGTCCTTGCTGCCGATGATATCTGGCGTCCTTGCTGCAGCTGGTATATAGTGTCCTTGCTGCTGCTGATATATGGCGTCCTTGCTGCTGCTGATATCTGGCGTCCTTGCTGCAGCTGGTATCTGGCGTTCTTGCTGCAGCTGGTATCTGGTGTTCTTGCTGCAGCTGGTATCTGACGGTTTTGTTGCTACTGGTATTTGGCGTCCTTGCTGTAGTTGGTATCTGTCGTCCTTGCTGCAGCTGGTATCTGGTGTCCTTGTTGCTGCTGATATCTGGCGTCCTTGTTGCTGCTGATATCTGGCGTCCTTTTTGCAGCTGGTATCTGGTGTCCTTGCTGTAGCTGGTATATGGCGTCCTTGCTGCAGCTGGTATCTGTCGTCCTTGCTGCAGCTGGTATCTGGTGTCCTTGTTGCTGCTGATATCTGGCGTCCTTGCTGCTGCTGATATTTGGCGTCCTTGCTGCAGCTGGTATATGGTGTCCTTGTTGCAGCTGATATCTGGTGTTCTTGCTGTAGCTGGTATCTAGGGTCCTTGCTGCAGCTAGTCTATAGTGTCCTTGCTGCTGCTGATATCTGGTGTCCTTGCTGCAGCTGGTATCTGGCCTCCTTGCTGCAGCTAGTCTATAGTGTCCTTGCTGCTGCTGATATCTGGTGTCCTTGCTGCAGCTGGTATCTGGTGTTCTTGCTGTAGCTGGTATCTAGGGTCCTTGCTGCAGCTGGTATAGTGTGTCCTTGCTGCTGCTGGTATCTGGCGTCCTTGCTGCAGCTGGTATCTGGCGTCCTTGCTGCAGCTGGTATCTGGTGTTCTTGATGCTGCTGGTTCCCAGACCAGATCATCACGCCCATATGCAATATGTAACGTCCACCTGTGCGTCCGTGGACACGTGTCCAGCCATCAGCTCGGTGGAGAAGGAAAGGTGACTCCTCCTCGGTGAAGAGAACTCTTAGCCACTCACGTGCTCCCAGTTGCGAGTGGACTGATGTCGTGGAGGCGCAGACGTCGTTGAACCTTTTTCGCAGATACATGATAACTGGCTGGAACATGTTTCGGAAGTGGCTCGAATCCATCGGTCTTCTGGTCGTTACTGGTTGGCAGGTCAATACGGACACGGTCTATAAATTGGTGCCATGGACCAAGTGCCGTATACTGTTTGTATATGTAGAAGTTGAATCGTCGAGCAACGTCACGCTGTGCGGTACGAGTCTGAAGCATGCCTATTGCTCTCCATGTGTCATTTTCCTGACGTGGCATGTCGAACTTGTTCCAGACTTGTACCTCTGCCTTCTACGCATCTTAAGACGCTATTTAGTGAAACACATGCGTCTGGTTGTCTGTTCCTTTAAATTGAACACTGATGGCCCTCATTCACTCTTCAAAATGTCTTGCTTTAAGTAAATTTCTAGCAATTCGAATACCAACTGCTTGGTTGCATTTAACACATTCTTTTTGTGCTTCAACTAATGTATTTTATTCACAAGAATGAAAAGATTCCATGCCACAATACCTTTTGCCTGTGAGTATATATGGCTAAACAAGATGGTATTCTAGCTTCACTCTTCACACAGTTGTGGCAACAGTGTTGAGTGACAATCTAGCAAGTCCTGATCAACATTTGGGATAAACACAAAATAATCATTCCATGGTTCCCCGTTTTTGTTCCAAGTCAGCGAAAGCATTCTCAGCATGAGACCCATCATTGACGAGCGGGGTAATTCTTGTAGATGTGCCAAACTGGTTTACTAATTACGGAAGCAGTTACTGACATTATTGGGTAACATTAAGAACGCAACGTGTGGTGTTACATAACTGCATCGTTGTCGTCGGACGGCAGGGCAGTGAGTGTAACATCTGGATACACTTTGTGCAGACTGAGCTTTCTTGTGTAAAAGTATACTATCTACAGTTCTATCTATTATCCTTACTTCTCAACGATCATGTGTATTGTTGCGTTTGAACCTGTAATGTTCAAGCAAAAGTCTTAAGAATGCTTTTAGAAGTATTCTTTTCCAAGTAAACCTATTGTAGTTAAAACACATTGTGCCAATACCAATTTTGACGCAGTCTGTATGAATCAAGAAACAGCACTTACCTCCACGTGAACATATTCACTGTGGCGAGTTATACTGTTGGATTGAAGTATCTGGAAGCACCAAGGTCGTCAATCTGCTGAGCACATCAGATAGAACAGCTACGCCGTTTGTTGTAATTAACTGAATGGTACCGTTTCCGATGCCGTTTGTAGCTAGTTGGCATTGGCCGAATATTACCTTCCTCGTAACTGGTGTATTGGCGGAACACACCAAGGGGAGGTAAGCGATGTTGGTGGTAGTGATATATACAATGTCAATGTGTCAGTGAAGGATCAGTTTCTTGATGGAGTAAGCAGAGTTACTGCGATATGTCAGTATGTGTTGTGATCACCAGCGGAATGGTTACGTGTATAAATTAAATGACAAATGTTGGAAGGCGAGGGTGCAACTCTCCATGTGCTACATGAAGGAGTAGGTGTTGTATATCAGAAGAGAAATATATGGTAACTTAACTAACCACGGCCAACTAGCCCAGCATAGTTGGGCGTACTGTATTTACTTAGGTCAAATGTTGGTATGTTTCTGTTGATGGATGCACGGTGGGAGTCAACGCATTCCATGGCGCTTGAGATTTACCTGCTGTTGGGTAGAGGGTGTACAGACAGTTACAGGAGGCTGTTCGGTAGAGGGTGTGTAGACAGTTACAGGAGGTTGTTGGGTATAGGGTGTCCAGACACTTACAGGAAGCTGTTCGGTAGAGGATGTACAGACAGTTACAGGAGGCTGTTGGGTAGAGGGTGTGTAGACAGGTACAAGGTGCTGTTGGGTAGAGGGTGTGCAGACAGTTACAGGAGGCTGTTGGGTAGAGGTAGACTAAGGCTTAGTCTCTGAATATATATAATTTTGATAGTAACAAACAAGCCCATTTATATTGAAAAGGAGCCCCAGGGAGACCAGAGAACCTGAGGAAATCTAGACTTGCTTTATTTAGGGCTTTAGCACTGCAGAGAGGGCTTGGCAGTAGGGAAATTAATGTGGTTCAGGGACTGTGAGACAGACTAGGGTAGAGGGTGTGTAGATAGTTACAGGAGGTTGTTGGGTAGAGGGTGTGTAGATAGTTACAGGAGGTTGTTGGGTAGAGGGTGTGTAGATAGTTAAAGCAGGCTTTTGGGTAGAGGGTGTGCAGACACTTACAGGAAGCTGATGGTTAGAAGGTGTGTATACAGTTACAGGAGGCTGTTGGGTAGAGGGTGTGCAGACAGTTACAGGAGGTTGTTGGGTTGAGGGTGTGTATACAGTTATAGGAGGTTGTTGGGTAGAGGGTGTGCATACAGTTACAGGAGGCTGTTGGAAAGAGGGTGTGTAGACTCTTACAGGAAGCTGCTGGGTAGAGGGTCTGCAGACAGTTACAGGAGGCTGTTAGACGGAGGGTGTGCAGACGGTTACAGGAGGCTGTTAGGTAGAGGGTGTGCAGACAGTTACAGGAGGTTGTTGGTTAGAGGGTCTGTAGACGGTTACAGGAGGCTGTTGGTTAGAGGGTCTGTAGACGGTTACAGGAGACTGTTGGTTAGAGGGTCTGTAGACGGTTACAGAAGGCTGTTGGTTAGAGGGTGTGCAGACAGTTACAGGAGGTTGTTGGGTAGAGGGTGTGCAGACAGTTACAGGAGGTTGTTGGGTAGAGGGTGGGTAGACAGTTACAGGAGGCTGTTGGGTAGAGGGAGTGCAGACAGTTACAGGAGACTGTTGGGTAGAGGGTGTGTAGACAGTTACAGGAAGCTGTTGGGTAGGGTGTGTGCAAACAGTCACAGGAGACTGTTGCGTAGAGGGTGTGTAGACAGTCACAGGACGTTGTTGGGTAGAGGGTGTGTAGACAGTTACAGGAGACTGTTGGGTAGAGGGTGTCCAGACAGTTACAGGAGACTGTTGGGTAGAGGGTGTGTATACAGTTACAGGAGGCTGTTGGAAAGAGGGTGTGTAGACTCTTACAGGAAGCTGCTGGGTAGAGGGTCTGCAGACAGTTACAGGAGGCTGTTAGACGGAGGGTGTGCAGACGGTTACAGGAGGCTGTTAGGTAGAGGGTGTGCAGACAGTTACAGGAGGTTGTTGGTTAGATGGTGTGCAGACAGTTACAGGAGGCTGTTGGTTAGAGGGTCTGTAGACGGTTACAGGAGGCTGTTGGTTAGAGGGTCTGTAGACGGTTACAGGAGGCTGTTGGTTAGAGGGTCTGTAGACAGTTACAGGAGGCTGTTTAATAGAGGTTGTCCAGACAGTTACAGGAGGTTGTTGGGTAGAGGGTGTGCAGACAGTTACACGAGATTGTTGGGTAGAGCGTGTGTTGACAGTTACAGGAAGCTGTTGGGTAGAGGGTGTACAGACAGTTACAAGAAGGTTGTTGGGTAGAGGGAGTGCAGACAGTTACGGAGGGCTGTTGGGTAGAGGGTTGGTAGACAGTTACAGGAGGCTGTTGGGTAGAGGGTGTGCAAACAGTCACAGAAGACTGTTGCATAGAGGGTGTGTAGACAGTTACAGGACGTTGTTGGGTAGAGGGTGTGTAGACAGTTACAGGAAGCTGTTGGGTAGAGGGTGTGCAGACAGTTACAGGAGACTGTTGGGTAGAGGGTGTGTAGAGAGTTACAGGAGACTGTTGGGTAGAGGGTGTGTTGACAGTTACAGGAGGTTGTTGGGTAGAGGGTGTCCAGATAGTTTCAGGAAGCTTTTGGGTAGAGGGTGTGCAGACAGTTACAGGAAGCTGTTGGGTAGAGGGTGTGCAGACAGTTACAGGACGTTGTTGGGTAGAGGGTGTGTAGACAGTTACAGGAGACTGTTGGGTAGAGGGTGTGTTGACAGTTACAGGAGGTTATTGGGTAGAGGGTGTCCAGACAGTTACAGGAGACTGTTGGGTAGAGGGTGTGTAGACAGTTACAGGAGCCTGTTTGGTAGAGGGTGTGTAGATAGATACAGGAGCCTGTTTGGTAGAGGGTGTCCAGACAGTTACAGGAGCCTGTTTGGTAGAGGGTGTGTAGACAGTTACAGGAGGTTGTTGGGTAGAGGGTGTGCAGACAATTGCAGGAAGCTGTTTGGGTAGAGGGTGTGCAGATAGTTACAGGAAATTGTAGGGTAGAGGGTGTGCAGACAGTTACAGGAGACCGTTGAGTAGAGGGTGTGTAGACAGGTACAGGAGGATGTTGGGTAGAGGGTGTGTAGACAGGTACAGGAGGATGTTGGGTAGAGGGTGTGTAGACAGTTACAGGAAGCTGTTGGGTAGAGGGTGTGTAGACAGTTACACGAGGCTGTTGGGGAGAGGGTGTGTAGACAGTTACAGGAGCCTGTTTGGTAGAGGGTGTCCAGACAGTTACAGGAGGTTGTTTGGTAGAGGGTGCCCAAATAGTTACAGGAGGTTTTTGGGTAGAGGGTGTATAGACAGTCACACGAGGCTGTTGGGGAGAGGGTGTGTACACAGTTACAGGAGCCTGTTTGGTAGAGGGTGTCCAGACACTTACAGGAGGTTGTTGGGTAGAGGGTCTGTATATAGTTACAGGAGACTGTTGTGTAGGGGGTGTGCAGACAGTTACAGGAGGCTGTTGGGTAGAGGGTGTCCAGATAGTTACAGGAGCCTGTTTGGTAGAGGGTGTGCAGACAGTTACACGAGGCTGTTGGGGAGAGGGTGTGTAGACAGGTACAGGAGCCTGTTTGGTAGAGGGTGTCCAGACAGTTACAGGAGGTTGTTTGGTAGAGGGTGCCCAAATAGTTACAGGAGGTTTTTGGGTAGAGGGTGTATAGACAGTTATAGGAAGCTGTTGGGTAGAGGGTGTGCAGACAGTTACAGGAGACTTTTTGGTAGAGTGTGTGTAGACAGGGACAGGAAGCTGTTGGGTAGAGGGTCTGTAGACAGGTACAGGAAGCTGTTGGGTAGAGGGTGTGCAGACAGTTACAGGAGACTGTTGGGTAGAGGGTGTGTAGACAGTTAGAAGAGGCTGTTGGGTGGAGTGTGTGTAGACAGTTACAGGAGGTTGTTGGGTAGAGGGTGTGCAGACAGTTACAGGAGACTGTTGGGTACAGGGTGTGTAGACAGGTACAAGAGGCTGTTGGGTAGAGGGTGTGCAGACAGTTACAGGAGACTGTTGGGTACAGGGTGTGTAGACAGGTACAAGAGGCTGTTGGGTAGAGGGTGTGCAGACAGGTACAGGGAGCTGTTGGGTAGAGGGTGTGTAGACAGTTACAGGAAGCTGTTGGGTATAGGGTGTGCAAACAGTTACAGGAAGCTGTTGGGTAGAGGGTGTGTAGACAGGTACAGGAAGCTGTTGGGTAGAGGGTGTCCAGACAGGTACAGGAGGTTGTTGGGTAGAGGCTGTGCAGACAGTTACAGGAGACTGTTGGGTAGAGGGTGTGCAGACAGTTACAGGAGACTTGTTGGGTAGAGAGTGTGCAGACAGTTACAGGAGTCTGTTTGGTAGAGGGTGTGTAGACAGGTACAGGGGGATGTTGGGTAGAGGGTGTATAGACAGTTACAGGAGGTTGTTGGATAGAGGGTGTGCAGACAGTTACAGGAACTTGTTGGGTAGAGGGTGTGCAGACAGTTACAGGAGGCTTTTGGGTAGAGGGTGTGTAGATAGGTACAGGAGCCTGTTTGGTAGAGGGTGTACAGACAGTTACAGGAGGTTGTTTGGTAGATGGTGTGTAAACAGTTACAGGAGGTTGTTGGGTAGAGGGTGTGCAGACAGTTACAGGAGGTTGTTGGGAAGAGGGTGTGTAGACAGTTACAGGGGCCTGTTTGGTAGAGGGTGTCCTGACAGTTACAGGAGGTAGAAGGTGTGTAGACAGTTACTGGAGCCTTTTCGATAGAGGGTGTGCAGACAGTTACAGGAGGCCGTTGGGTAGAGGGTGTGTAGACAGTTACAAGATCCTGTTTGGTAGAGGGTGTGTAGAGAGTTACAGGAGACTGTTGGGTAGAGGGTGTGCAGACAGTTACAGGAGGCTGTTGGGTAGAGGGTGTGTAGACAGTTACAGGAGGCTGTTTGGTAGAGGGTGTCATGACAGTTACAGAAGATTATTGGGTAGAGGATGTGCAGACAGTTACAGGAGGCTGTGGGGTAGAGGGTGTGTTGATAGTTACAGGATCCTGTTTGGTAGAGGGTGTCCAGACAGTTACAGAAGATTGTTGAGTAGAGGATGTGCAGACAGTTACAGGAGGCTGTTGGGTAGAGGGTGTCCAGACAGTTACAAGAGGTTATTGGGTAGAGGGTGTGCAGACAGTTACACGAGGCTTTTGGGTAGAAGGTGTGTAGATAGGTACAGGAGCCTGTTTAATAGAGGTTGTCCAGACAGTTACAGGAGGTTGTTGGGTAGAGGGTGTGCAGCCAGTTACAGGAGACTGTTGTGTAGAGGGTGTGTAGACAGGTACAAGAGGCTGTTGGGTAGAGGGTGTGTAGACGGGTACAGGGGGCTGTTGGGTAGAGGGTGTGTAGACGGGTACAGGGGGCTGTTGGGTAGAGGGTGTGTAGACACTTAAAGGAAGCTGTTGGGTACTGGGTGTGTAGATGGTTACAGGAGGTTGTTGGGTAGAGGGTGTGTAGACAGTTACAGGTTGCTGTTGGGTAGAGGGTGTGCAGACAGTTACAGGAGACTGTTGGGTAGAGGGTGTGCAGACAGTTACAGGAGGCCGTTGGGTAGAGGGTGTGCAGACAGTTACAGATGCTGTTGGGTAGAGGGTGTCCAGACAGTTACAGAGTGTTGTTGGGAAAAGGGTGTGCAGACAGTTACAGGAGGCTGTTGGGTAGAGAGTGTCCAGACAGTTACAGAAGCAGGGAGTGCAGACAGTTACAGGAGGCTGTTTGGGAGAGGGGTGTGTAGAGAGTTACAGGAGACTGTTGGGTAGAGGGTGCAGACAGTTACAGGAGATTCTTGGGTAGAGGGAGTGCAGACAGTTACAGGAGGCTGTTGGGTAGAGGGTGTGTAGACAGTTACAGGAGCCTGTTTGGTAGAGGGTGTCATGACAGTTACAGAAGATTATTGGGTAGAGGGTGTGTTGATAGTTTCAGGATCCTGTTTGGTAGAGGGTGTGCAGACAGCTACAAGAGGTTGTTGGGTAGACGGTGTTCAGACAGTTACAGGAGGCTGTTGGGTAGAGGGTGTCCAGACAGTTACAGGTGGTTGTTGGGTAGAGGGTGTGCATGCAGTTACAGGAGATTGTTTGGTAAAGGCTGTGTAGACAGTTACAGGAGGCTGTTGGATAGAGGATGGTCACCTACCCTGTAACCAATGTTTACCTACCCAGTAACCAATGTTCACCTACCAAGTAACCAATGCTCACCTGCCCAGTAACCGATGTTCACCTACCCAGTAACCAATGTTTACCTACGCAGTAACTGATGTTGACCTACCAAGTAACCAATGTTCAGCTACCCAGTAACCAATGTTTACCTACCCAGTAACCGATGTTCACCTACCCCGTAACCAATGTTCACCTACCCAGTAACCAATATCCACCTACCCAGTAACCGATGTTCACCTACCCAGTAACTGAAGTTAACTGATATTCACTTACCCATTAAACAATTTTCACCTACCCAGTAACCGATGGTCACCTATCCAGTAACCGATGTTCACCTACCCAGCAACTGATGGTCACCTACCCAGTAACTGATGTTCACCTACCAGGTAACCGATGGTCACCTATCAAGTAACTGATGTTCACCTACTCAGTAACCAATGGTCACCTAACCAGTAACCAATGGTCACCTACCCAGTAACCAATGGTCACCTACCCAGTCACCGATGTTTACCTACCCAGTAACCAATGTTCACCTACCCAGTAACAGATGTTAACGTACCCAGTAACCAATGTTCACCTACCCAGTAAGCAATGTTCACCTACCCAGTAACCAATGGTCACCTACCCAGTAACAAATGTTCACCTACACAGTAACCAATGTTCACCTACCCAGTAACCGATGTTCACGTACCCAGTAACCAATGTTCACCTACCCAGTAAGCAATGTTCACCTACCCAGTAACCAATGGTCACCTACCCAGTAACAAATGTTCACCTACACAGAAACCAATGTTCACCTACCCAGTAACCAATGCTCACCTACCCCTTTACTGAAGTTAACTGATGTTCACCTACCCAGTAACCGATGGTCACTTACCCAGTAACTGATGTTCACCTACCCAGTTACCAATGGTCACCTTCCCAGTAACCAATGGTCACCTAACCAGTAACCGATGTTCACCTCCCAGTAACCAATGGTCACCTAACCAGTAACCGATGTTCTCCTACCCAGTAACCGATGTTCACCTACCCAGTAACTAATGGTCACCTACCCAGTAACCGATGTTCACCTACCCAGTAATCAATGTTTACCTACGCAGTAACTGATGTTCACCTACCCAGTAACCAATGTTCACCTACCCAGTAACCGATGTTCACCTACCCAGTAACCAATGGTCACCTACCCAGTAACTGATGTTCACCTACCCAGTTACCAATGGTCACCTACCAGGTAATCAATGGTCACCTACCCAGTAACATATGGTCACCTACCCAGTAACCGATGTTCACCTACCCAGTAATCAATGTTTACCTACGCAGTAACTGATGTTCACCTACCCAGTAACCAATGTTCACCTACCCAGTAACCGATGTTCACCTACCCAGAAACCAATGGTCACCTACCCAGTAACCAATGGTCACCTATCCAGTAAGCGATGGTCATCTACCCAGTAACCGATGTTCACCTACCCAGTAACCGATGTTCACCTACCCAGTAACTGAAGTTAAATGATGTTCACCTACCCAGTAACCAATGTTCTCCTACCCAGTAACCGATGGTCACCTACCCAGTAACCAATGGTCACCTACCAAGTAACCAATGTTCACCTACCCATTAACCGATGTTCACCTACCCAGTAATCAATGTTCACCTACCCATTAACCGATAATCACCTACCCAGTAACCAATGTTCAACTACCAAGTAACCAATGCTCACCTGCCCAGTATCCGATGCTCACCTGCCCAGTAACCGATGTTCACTTATTCAGTAACCAATGTTCACCTACCCAGTAACCGATGGTCACCTACCCAGTAACCAATGTTCACCTACCCAGTAACCGATGGTCACCTACCCAGTAACCAATGTTCACCTACCCAGTAACCAATGTTCACCTACCCAGTAACTGAAGTTAACTGATGTTTACCTCCCCAGTAACCGATGTTCACCTACCCAGTAACCAATGTTCACCTCCGCATTAACCGATGGTCACCTACCCAGTAACTGAAGTTAACTGATGTTCACCTCCCCAGTAACCAATGTTCACCTACCCAGTAACCAATGTTCACCTACCCAGTAACAAATTAACTGATGTTCACCTACCCAGTAACCGATGTCCTTCTACCCAGTAACTGTTGTTGACCTACCCAGTAATCGTTGTTGACCTACCCAGTAATCGTTGTTGACCTACCCAATAATCAGTGCATACCTACACGCAGAAAGCCATACAACCAGTTTAGACATACACTGGTACGATATATACGTACACTAGTCTGATACATGAGCACGTACAAACATGTTTGGTATAAAAATAACTTTATTAATGATAAATTATCATCACTGACGTGTATATTTACAGATCTCGGGATTCCAAGGGAATTACTTGATTCACAGTGCACATGAACATTAACAGCCAGACCAGTACAGATGTCTGGTAAAAAGTACGTTCACAATGTACCATCCTCGGCACACACGAAACATTGGTGTTGGGAGGACGATGTCACAAAGTACTTGCAGTGGGGCATCTGTCTCAACACTGAGTCGGTGAGCGAACATGCATAGCTGTACAAAGTAAGGCATGTGTTGTATGAAGTATAAGTTGTGTTGAAACCATTCTTGAAGCAGAGAATAGAGAGCGGATGTAAGAACAATGTTTTAGTAAAATCTCGGCGTTGGATACCCAGAATGAAATGCACGTATTGTGCCCGTGTGGAAATCGATGTCCCACCTAAATGATAATGTTTGAGGATAACAAAACAATGTCAGAATGAACCACGGAATAAGCCAAAACATCAACACGTGGAACGGACAAGTAGACACGAGGTGGAACTGCTGGTGCCCCCTTGTAGTATGTGAGATGCACTAAGTTACTCTAGAATGCCTCACAGTCAGTAATATTCAGTGAGTCATGTCGGTTCATATGAATTGGGAAAAGGAACCACATTATCGCCCCAACCGCGTACCTAGTCTTGGCAAATCAGTCTCAATCGCAACGGATCCAATTTAATATTTAGGCCAGGAAAGTCAATGATGTATTCAACTGCCTATAGCAAAGAAGCAATTTCGTCCCGTCATCAACACAAAATGACCTGTAGTTCTGGCATGATGCGATCCATGTATAGCTAGCGGTGGATAATATCTATCATTGTCAGCAATCTTGTTAAACTATAGTAATTGATCCGGAAGGATGAGCAGTGTACAGTGTACAGGACTGTACAGTGGGTACTTGTCAGCCACAAACACCGAGTATGATGAGACACAGAAACATAAGAACAGAGACGTGTTGAGTATGGGCGGCGTCTGTGCACGTCTCCTCTGCTGTGGCGGGCTTGTAGTTTAGGATCCAGTCGTCCACGATCTCCTCCAAGATGGTGAGAGGCATTGGGCCGTTCTCCAACACCACGGAGTGGAAGTCCCGGATGTCAAACAAGTCGCCTGGAATCAGTGTTCAAAAACATGTTGAAATGTTGAGGCCTTTTATCATCATATCCGACACGTGATATATTTCAAGTATTTGCTAATGGTGACCAGACGTCGGTTATGATGAAGCGATAGGAAAACTATATCTTAGCTCCTGGCTTTTGGTGAACAACACACGTCATTCGCGACACTTTGTTCGAGGGTACGGAAAGACTACAGAATACCGGATACCTTCCGCCATCTTTGAAAACTTTAGAACTGCGCATTTAAAGCGCACAACTCGACTCGAGTTTTTAGTACTTCGCTATCTCAGTGTACTTACTTTTTTAGCCATTGGATATCCGTTACAATTACTATCTTCTTTACGGTGAGTTTAACGTATGTGGATAGGGTTAGGGTTAGGTAACTTTCTCACGCTCACAATTCCATAGCTCCTTTTTTCAAACACGCATATAGTTTATATTTGTACTTACTTACCTTTCATTTTCAAGGTTAGTTTTATTAACCGGACGTCAAATAATCCGATATTAATGGTTATTCTTTATTTTGATGCACCCTTATATTTTCGAATTTAATAGCTCGTACATCCCTTAAAGGAAGTGCACGTGACACGAAATGTTTTGGCTGGTAGGTATCATGTATTCGGTAGGTGTGCCGAGGGTACATATGCCCTTCTCTATTTGCATTCCGCTAAAAAAACTGTTGAAAACTTTCACTTAACAGATTACTAGCTCAATAAAAAAACACAACTAAAATCACCATTCCAGCTGGCCGTTCCCTTATAGTCTACCTATAACAACTAACATGTTGGAGACAGCATAATGATAACAGTAGTCCATCGCGTGCCTCATGACTTACACGTGTCGGTCCCCCCTTTTTATGTCCTTACCTTACGCATCCTGTAAAGTATGTGCCCACACACACACCCACCCACACCCACACATACACACCCCGATATCCTTACCTGAAGCACCCTGTGTCGAGGGTGGAGGTACCCCTTCCCTCCACACACACACCTTGTTATATCGTTATTTAATGCATCCTTTGAAGAAGGTCCCCCCTGTTATGTCCTTTCCTGATGCAACCTATAAAGGAGATGGAGCCAAACACACACACGCACACACGCACGCACGCACGCACACACCTTGCTATATTATTATTTGATAATCATGTGAAAAAAGGTGGAGGTCCCCCTTCCTTGTTATGTCGTTACCTGACGAGAGGCAAATGGAGGTTCTCGCCTCTTCCTATTCTATTCATTCTGCGTAAGATGTACGTGTTACGCTATGAAAGCATCGTGTTTGGAAGGTGCAGGTTTCGCCCTGTTACGCACTCACCTAATGTATCCTCTGCCCTCTTCCGTAACTCTTTGATTTTGATTTCGCCAATCTTGTATGCGCATGCCTGACCTGGCCACGTGATGTACCTGTCAATCTCTGTCGTCATTTCCGCCCGGGAAAAGGATGTGTATTTGAGCATGTAGCGGATGGCCTCCTCGCGGTTCCACCTGGGTCAGACAGACAACAACGTGAGCAGACCGTTATCGATGAGCCAGTATATATACAGGTGTAATTGTATAAAGGGAATTGAAAGATTCTAGATATGTCTCCATGCTTGTCGAATTGAGACAAAGAATTATATTAAAAAAACACACTAAAATAAGAATGCGGTTGAAAGGGATTTAGGATGTGTAAATAGAGAATTTATTGTAATTATGCCGACTAAAATCCCTCACCGGAGAAGATTTATCATCATGTTATGTCATACACATCAGTCAGTATATTGATATAGATTTAAACCGCCTCACCCGTAGTAGTGTAGGCCTGTGTCCACCACTAGTCTACAAGCTCGAAAGATCTCAGAACTGTAGCGCCCCATCCTGAAATACAAACCATATTCATCACTTGAGACACGGGCTATAGTCATGACGCCAAACACAGGCCACATTCCTCAAGCTTTGGCCACAGTCGTCACGCATATTGTCATCTCGCGGAAACACAAGCCAATGTCATCATGCCAAACGCAAGCCCAAAACAGGACGAAATGCCTTCATGCCTAGCAGTTCGAACTGTCGGACATATCATATGTCTGTTAAGTAATCTGTCACTTCTGTAATTAATGAAATCTGATCATAAATATATATGCAAAGAAGTTACATATTATGCAAATTGTTAGTGTTTAGTTTGTAATGCACCGTTCAAATACGGAAACTGTCAATCTTTAACCTTGTAGAAGGTATTGATTGGATATTTAAGCTATGATTCATTGCTTTCCCACAGTGGAGACATTGTGTTCAGAACAGTCCAAGTACAAGGGTTATTTGGCAGAGAACTTATATGCTTTGGGATCATTCACTTACAGTTCATAGTCGTTTTGGTACAAGTTGAGCTCCTCTCCGAGTGACTCCGCATACAGCGCCCAGCCCTGTAACAGTAGTTATTGTAATAGCAGCTCTGCGGGATAAAGCGCGTGTGCACAGGCACGGCAACTGGTGTCTTGCGACCATACGTTTCTTGCTTTTATCGGACGATATTGGAAACTAACCTGATTAAACTGTGTTTGTGACGCCATGTCCAACTTGACTACTCATCAATGGGTCTATATACAGGAAATGACACCGTATTTTAATCTATATCTCACACACACACATACACATACACGCACACGCACACGCACACACGCAAACACACACACACACACACACACACACACACACACACACACACACACACACACACACACACACACACACACACACACACACCTGACCACCCTTCCCCAGCACCACCCACCAGACTTACCTCCCTGTAGGCTGTGTAGAAGGGAAAGTGGTAGGGAACCTCATAATACCGGAAGTACTCTGTGTTGCGCCGGAAGTCAGGTAGGTTAGCCTTTAATGCGTAACTGATCTGAAATCAAGGTGAACATGTGTAATATATCTGAACTAGAGTTGCCTGATGTAAGCTCTTCGAACATTATTGAAAGTGGACGTTCACAGACAATGTACCTTCAACACTGAAGTCTTACTGAATTACCTGTAAGTGGTGGCCGGGCACAGACTCATGCAGAGTGACGGGCATCATTATATATTTCCCTCTGAAAACACACAACATGGTGATGGAAACTGGGAACTGGAAGAATATCATATTTGTTAAAGATCTTTGTGAGGATGTTCTTTGGTGTGTCCGAGGTAAATGAGAAACGTAAATAATTCACGATGAACGAATACGTCCTTAGCATTTACCCTGGTATATGTTTTTCGCGCGCATCAAGGTTTACGTGATAAAGAAATGAGTGTCTCACTCTGTACCTATCAACAGTGTCAATTAATACGTAGTGGCATGTACACTGGCATTATGTATACGTAAAAGCTATTGTAAACACATATGTAGTATAGAATTCACACAAAGGAAGCGGACTTACATTTCATGCGGCCTGTTCACATTGACCTTGAATATCCCTGCACGGGATCCATCCTCCGAGCCGGACTGGTACTCCCCTGCAGGGCCATCATACGGCATGGGCTCCACTCTAAAACACGTGGAACTTTATACACTGTAGGCTGGTACTTCATCTTACAAACCACGTACACAAAGGACCATTTCTTTGTAGAATGTATGCAGTGAGATACTAAATAGCAGCCGTCGTTGTTGAAATGGTAGTATGCACGTTTTGAACGTTGTTTGTTTTGAAGAAAAAATATGTTGTTGTAGAAATCGTATATTGATGATTAACTTTTAGATCAACTGTCCATATCAACATACAAGTACATTAAAATGAAGAAGTGGGGTTTAAGATAACCATTATAACGAAGTAAAAAGTGGATCGTTATTACCACATGTTACAACACGCATAATAAAACCTACTGCAACATAGCGACAATGTGTTCTTGATATGTACACAGTGTCTCGTAGTATATCCTCGAGATAGACCCAGAGGTCGAGATTGAAATACATGCCGTAGACATAGATACAGAAGAATGACCTGCTATCATGTATGTTCAATAAGCGAAGCTAGACAGTAGTGGTAGTATTAGTTGTAGTAGAGGTTAGTAGTAGTAGCAGTAGTAGAAAAAGTAGCAGCAACGAAAGTAGTAATTGCTGTAGTTGCAGTCTTAGTATTTGTAGTAGTAGAAGTAGCGGTTTCAGGGAATTATTAATGAGTTAGCGTAATAACACCAGCAGTAGTGGGAGTAGTAGCAGCAGCAGATGTAGAAGGAGTGGTAGTAGCAGCAACAGTGGAAGAGGTCCTCTCAGTAGCAAATGACAGTACGAAGTTCGTACACCATGGGCTAAGTAAGCTGTAGAAGTAGAACAACTACAAGACGTCTTACCTAACAGGCAGATCCGGCAAATGATTGAAGACCTCGTGGAGTTTAGGGTTTATTCTCTCATTGATCAACCTGTTATATCCTTCTATGAGCTCCTCCTACAGGCAAAAACAAAACTGACAACTGAAACAACAGTGGTGACTATCAACAAGTGACGCGTAAATGTCTACCTCCAGAAGACTGACTGACTGAGTTTAGTTTTACGCCGCTTTTTAGCAATATTCCAGCAATATCACGGCGGGGGACACCAGAAATGGGCTTAACACATTGTGCCCATGTGGGGAATCGAACCCGGGTCTTCGGCGTGACGAGCCAACGCTTTAACCACTAGGCTACCCCACCGCCCCACCTCCAGAAGATCATGTCATCAATTGATGAAACAGTAGACTTCTAGTCTGCGGTAACAGAAATACATTAGGCTTCTTTTGCGGATCATGTGTGTCAACAACAAGACGAACACAGTGTACTGATGGATATCAGTGGTGCAGTATATTAATTGCGAGACCGCCAGACTTATTTTATCTTTAGACCACCAGCGACAGGTAGTGTAAAATCAAGTACCATTTCGTAAAGTCTTTTGTAACTTGTAGTTTCGTCGATCGTGCTAAGGAATCGAACTACGAAATTCCGCCCTACAGACAGATGTTATCTGCATGTGACCATGACGGAGCTTAGGGAGGAGGCTCCGCTTTTAGACGCCAAAAGCGACTACCGGAAGTAAAGACTACTGCTGCATGAAGGTATCCCTTACCAGAATTATTAAGGGGGACGTAAATTCGCATAAACAACAGCTTTTTGAAGCGTCACTCGCATATGGTAAAACAGAACAAATCTAGTGTCAGAAAACAGTATTGTTGTTGTACATGAACCCGAAAAACAAAGTACGAGATTTAAAGAATGGAACGACCCCCTGAGGACTTATGACGCACAAAGCATGATAACAGTCACAGTCAGATTCCCTCGGACAAAATATTCTGCCAGTTTGGAGTACTCTGGCCAGGATTTGATAATCTCCTTTATACTACCGAGCCTATGAAGACATTGAAGAGGGTGACGTGACTGCTCTCATCATGGCAGTCGAGGAGTCGATTTTAAGACTGTCAGACTCCGGTATAAAGGAGGACTAAATCTGACTGGCAAGAATGTACGTATCAATTCTAAATATTAATATCCGATGAGGAACTGTCTACTCCCGACCATCCGACAGCTGGAGGTAAGCAGTAACAACTGTGAGACCTGGCGTTAGTGTTGACAGATACGATGTCTAGGTATCTAAGACGAATGATTAAAGACTGCAGCAGGAAAACAGTATCGTGTAAAATAACATGTGTTGAGTTGGCAAGTCTGCAGCAGTGAGGACGGTCTTGTACTGATACGGATTACCCTGATATCGGTATCATCAATAGCTAATTTAAATCAGTCTTAAGAGCATATAGATGCGTGATGTTATATTTGATTAAGTTGACAGTTACCGCTGAGTCTGTATGCAGTGAGGTGTCGTTCCTCAGAAAAGCAAAATACTCAGTAATTGATCCATTGAAGTTCTGCTTCTTTACAATCTGAAATAACAAATAAAACATGAATTACCATTCAGTGGTCAAAACACCTATTGTGAGTCCTATAAGTACTGCTTCTTTCGCACAAACGTTTCTCCAAGCAACCTCACGACGCTCCTCTCCCTTCTGACAAGATGTACACAACATACAACCTCCCTGACGCCCTTCTCCTCTGACAAGATGTACACAACATACAACCTCCCTGACGCCCTTCTCCTCAAACAAGATGTACACACGCCCTTCTCCTCTGACAAGATGTACACAACATACAACCTCCCTGACGCCCTTCTCCTCAAACAAGATGTACACAACATACAACCTCCCTGACGCCCTTCTCCTCAAACAAGATATACACAACATACAACCTCCATGACGCCCTTCTCCTCTGACAAGATATACACAACATACAACCTCCCTGACGCCCTTCTTCTCCTCAAAACAAGATGTACACAACATACAACCTCCATGACGCCCTTCTCCTCAAACAAGATATACACAACATACAACCTCCCTGACGCCCTTCTCCTCTGACAAGATATACACAACATACAACCTCCCTGACGCCCTTCTCCTCTGACAAGATGTACACAACATACAACCTCCATGACGCCCTTCTCCTCTGACAAGATATACACAACATACAACCTCCCTGACGCCCTTCTCCTCTGACAAGATATACACAACATACAACCTCCCTGACGCCCTTCTCCTCTGACAAGATGTACACAACATACAACCTCCATGACGCCCTTCTCCTCTGACAAGATATGCACAACATACAACCTCCCTGACGCCCTTCTCCTCTGACAAGATGTACACAACATACAACCTCCCTGACGCCCTTCTCCTGACAAGATGTACACAACATACAACCTCCTGACGCCCTTCTCCTCTGACAAGATGTACACAACATACAACCTCCCTGACGCCCTTCTCCTCTGACAAGATGTACACAACATACAACCTCCCTGACGCCCTTCTCCTCTGACAAGATGTACACAACATACAACCTCCATGACGCCCTTCTCCTCTGACAAGATGTACACAACATACAACCTCCCTGACGCCCTTCTCCTCAAACAAGATGTACACAACATACAACCTCCCTGACGCCCTTCTCCTCTGACAAGATGTACACAACATACAACCTCCCTGACGCCCTTCTCCTCTGACAAGATGTACATAACATACAACCTCCCTGACGCCCTTCTCCTCTGACAAGATGTACACAACATACAACCTCCCTGACGCCCTTCTCCTCTGACAAGATATGCACAACATACAACCTCCCTGACGCCCTTCTCCTCTGACAAGATATACACAACATACAACCTCCATGACGCCCTTCTCCTCAAACAAGATATACACAACATACAACCTCCTGACGCCCTTCTCCTCCTCTGACAAGATATACACAACATACAACCTCCATCCGCCCTTCTCCTCAAACAAGATATACACAACATACAACCTCCCTGACGCCCTTCTCCTCTGACAAGATATACACAACATACAACCCTCCCTGACGCCCTTTCTCCTCAAACAAGATATACACAACATACAACCTCCATGACGCCCTTCTCCTCAAACAAGATATACACAACATACAACCTCCCTGACGCCCTTCTCCTCAAACAAGATATACACAACATACAACCTCCCTGACGCCCTTCTCCTCTGACAAGATGTACATAACATACAACCTCCCTGACGCCCTTCTCCTCTGACAAGATGTACACAACATACAACCTCCATGACGCCCTTCTCCTCTGACAAGATGTACATAACATACAACCTCCCTGACGCCCTTCTCCTCTGACAAGATATACACAACATACAACCTCCCTGACGCCCTTCTCCTCAAACAAGATATACACAACATACAACCTCCCTGACGCCCTTCTCCTCTGACAAGATGTACACAACATACAAAACCTCCCCTGACTGACGCCCTTCTCCTCTGACAAGATATACACAACATACAACCTCCCTGACGCCCTTCTCCTCTGACAAGATGTACACAACATACAACCTCCCTGACGCCCTTCTCCTCTGACAAGATGTACACAACATACAACCTCCCTGACGCCCTTCTCCTCTGACAAGATATACACAACATACAACCTCCATGACGCCCTTCTCCTCTGACAAGATGTACACAACATACAACCTCCCTGACGCCCTTCTCCTCAAACAAGATGTACACAACATACAACCTTCCTGGAGCCCTTCTGCTCTGACAAGATGTACACAACATACAACCTCCTGAAGCCCTTCTGCTCTGACAAGATGTACACAACATACAACCTCCATGACGCCCTTCTGCTCTGACAAGATGTACACAACATACAACCTCCCTGACGCCCTTCTGCTCTGACAAGATGTACACAACATACAACCTCCATGACGCCCTTCTGCTCTGACAAGATGTACACAACATACAACCTCCCTGACGCCCTTCTCCTCTGACAAGATGTACACAACATACAACCTCCATGACGCCCTTCTGCTCTGACAAGATGTACACAACATACAACCTCCATGACGCCCTTCTCCTCAAACAAGATGTACACAACATACAACCTCCATGACGCCCTTCTCCTCTGACAAGATGTACACAACATACAACCTCCATGACGCCCTTCTCCTCTGACAAGATGTACACAACATACAACCTCCATGACGCCCTTCTCCTCTGACAAGATGTACACAACATACAACCTCCCTGACGCCCTTCTCCTCTGACAAGATATGTACACAACATACAACCTACAACCTCCTGACGCCCTTCTCCTCTGACAAGATGTACACAACATACAACCTCCATGACGCCCTTCTGCTCTGACAAGATATACACAACATACAACCTCCCTGACGCCCTTCTCCTCTGACAAGATGTACACAACATACAACCTCCCTGACGCCCTTCTGCTCTGACAAGATGTACACAACATACAACCTTCCTGGAGCCCTTCTCTTCTGACAAGATATATACAACATAAAACCTCCATGAAGCCCTTCTCTTCTGACAAGATATACACAACATACAACTTTGAATATTTTACCTTCTGTATGTGTTACAGCTCGTATATTTTCGTCATCTTATCCTGTAATCATGTCTCACCTCCTGCATCAGCCCCAAGATCCTCTCCACCTCCTGAAGACCTATCTGATGAACCCTCTCTGGACTCATGTCTGTGGACAGATGCCATTCAAGACAGGCCTTGTAGTAATTCTGGCCATCCTCAAGTGAACCCACTCCCCACTTCTGCCTGGTCGAAGGGAAATACTCCTACAGGAATAATGACAGAAACACATTATCTCCGACATGACATTTAAAGGGGGACTATTCCCTGGGTGACCACGGGTACCTACGTCCATACAAGTGTACACAAGTAAGAAACCAATGATACACATTCTACTGAACAGGGTCACTCAACAATATATTGATACAACTTTTCCATTGGTTCCTAAAACGACGACGATCCAGAAACTTTAGTAAGAATGTTGCTAACTCACTGTTTCCAGGAATGTCTTCATGTCTTGGAATGCCCCAAGTACTCCTTGAATTGAAGAATACGCTCTGTCTCGTATACCTCTTCTGCAGATACAAGACTGAGTTGTAAATAAATGATCAATGAAAGCGCACTTGCTACAAACTATGCAATTGCTTATCAATCCAGCTGTGACCCTACATGGACCAATCGTGTGAACTCACCAGACACACTACTGTGTGGTGGGAAACTTTAGTGGCAGTGTTAGCTGGGAGTATAACCACTGTCATTTTACTTGTATGCGTGATTGTATACTCACTTGGCAGTGTCGGAAAAGGGAAATTCGTCCAGCAGACCCGTAAACGGTTCATAAAATGCCGACTCCTCCGGTCGGACAAGCAGTCGTGCTATTTGTGCAGGAACTCGACTCTGTGAGGAGACATAAACATATCGTGGAGGATGTCATGTGTCATCTATAGACATATTACAGAGGACGTCATGTGTCATCTATAGATATATTACAGAGGATGTCATGTGTCATCTATAGATATATTACAGAGGATGTCATGTGACATCTATAGATATATTACAGAGGATGTCATGTGTGATCTATCGATACACTAAGATGATGTCATGTGTCATCTATAGATATATTACAGCGGATGCCATGTGTCATCTATAGATATATTACAGAGGATGCCATGTGTCATCTATAGATATATTACAGAGAATGCCATGTGTCATCTATAGATATATTACAGAGGATGTCATGTGTCATCTATAGATACATTACAGAGGGTGTCATGTGCCATTTATAGATACATTACAGAGGATGTCATGTGTCATCTATAGATATATTACAGAGGATGTCATGTGTCATCTATAGATATATTACAGAGGATGTCATGTGTCATCTATAGATATATTACAGAGGGTGTCATGTGTAATCTATAGATACATTACAGAGGATGCCATGTGTCATCTATAGATATATTACAGAGGATGCCATGTGTCATCTATAGATATATTACAGAGGGTGTCATGTGCCATCTATAGATATATTACAGAGGACGTCATGTGTCATCTATAGATGTATTACAGAGGGTGTCATGTGTAATCTATAGATACATTACAGAGGATGTCATGTGTAATCTATAGATACATTACAGAGGATGCCATGTGTCATCTATAGATATATTACAGAGGATGCCATGTGTCATCTATAGATATATTACAGAGGGTGTCATGTGCCATCTATAGATATATTACAGAGGACGTCATGTGTCATCTATAGATGTATTACAGAGGGTGTCATGTGCCATCTATAGATATATTACAGAGGACGTCATGTGTCATCTATAGATATATTACAGAGGACGTCATGTGTCATCTATAGATATATTACAGATGGTGTCATGTGCCATCTATAGATATATTACAGAGGACGTCATGTGTCATCTATAGATATATTACAGAGGATGTCATGTGTCATCTATAGATACATTACAGAGGGTGTCATGTGCCATCTATAGATATATTACAAAGGATGTCATGTGCCATCTATAGATACATTACAGAGGATGTCATGTGTCATCTATAGATATATTACAGAGGATGTCATGTGTCATCTATAGATATATTACAGAGGATGTCATGTGTCATCTATAGATATATTACAGAGGGTGTCATGTGTAATCTATAGATACATTACAGAGGATGCCATGTGTCATCTATAGATATATTACAGAGGATGCCATGTGTCATCTATAGATATATTACAGAGGGTGTCATGTGCCATCTATAGATATATTACAGAGGACGTCATGTGTCATCTATAGATGTATTACAGAGGATGTCATGTGTCATCTATAGATATATTACAGAGGGTGTCATGTGTAATCTATAGATACATTACAGAGGATGCCATGTGTCATCTATAGATATATTACAGTGGATGCCATGTGTCATCTATAGATATATTACAGAGGGTGTCATGTGCCATCTATAGATATATTACAGAGGACGTCATGTGTCATCTATAGATGTATTACAGAGGGTGTCATGTGTAATCTATAGATACATTACAGAGGATGTCATGTGTAATCTATAGATACATTACAGAGGATGCCATGAGTCATCTATAGATATATTACAGAGGATGCCATGTGTCATCTATAGATATATTACAGAGGGTGTCATGTGCCATCTATAGATATATTACAGAGGACGTCATGTGTCATCTATAGATGTATTACAGAGGGTGTCATGTGCCATCTATAGATATATTACAGAGGACGTCATGTGTCATCTATAGATATATTACAGAGGACGTCATGTGTCATCTATAGATATATTACAGATGGTGTCATGTGCCATCTATAGATATATTACAGAGGACGTCATGTGTCATCTATAGATATATTACAGAGGATGTCATGTGTCATCTATAGATACATTACAGAGGGTGCCATGTGCCATCTATAGATATATTACAAAGGATGTCATGTGCCATCTATAGATACATTACAGAGGATGTCATGTGTCATCTATAGATATATTACAGAGGATGTCATGTGTCATCTATAGATATATTACAGAGGATGTCATGTGTCATCTATAGATATATTACAGAGGGTGTCATGTGTAATCTATAGATACATTACAGAGGATGCCATGTGTCATCTATAGATATATTGCAGAGGATGCCATGTGTCATCTATAGATATATTACAGAGGTTGTCATGTGCCATCTATAGATATATTACAGAGGACGTCATGTGTCATCTATAGATGTATTACAGAGGGTGTCATGTGTAATCTATAGATACATTACAGAGGGTGTCATGTGTAATCTATAGATACATTACAGAGGATGCCATGTGTCATCTATAGATATATTACAGAGGATGCCATGTGTCATCTATAGATATATTACAGAGGATGCCATGTGTCATCTATAGATGTATTACAGAGGGTGTCATGTGCCATCTATAGATATATTACAGAGGACGTCATGTGTCATCTATAGATATATTACAGAGGACGTCATGTGTCATCTATAGATATATTACAGATGGTGTCATGTGCCATCTATAGATATATTACAGAGGACGTCATGTGTCATCTATAGATATATTACAGAGGGTGTCATGTGCCATCTATAGATATATTACAGAGGGTGTCATGTGCCATCTATAGATATATTACAGAGGACGTTATGTGTCATCTATAGATATATTACAGAGGATGTCATGTGTCATCTATAGATATATTACAGAGGACGTCATGTGTCATCTATAGATATATTACAGAGGACGTCATGTGTCATCTATAGATATATTACAGAGGGTGTCATGTGCCATCTATAGATATATTACAGAGGACGTCATGTGTCATCTATAGATGTATTACAGAGGATGTCATGTGCCATCTATAGATATATTACAGAGGACGTCATGTGTCATCTATAGATATATTACAGAGGATGTCATGTGTCATCTATAGATATATTACAGAGGGTGTCATGTGCCATCTATAGATATATTACAGAGGACGTCATGTGTCATCTATAGATGTATTAAAGATGATGTCATGTGTCATCTATAGACATACTGCAGAGTGTGCCATGTGACGTATATATATATATATATATAGAAATATTGAGCATGTCAAGAGATGTAGATATATCACGGAGGAAGTCTATCCAAGAGGGCACGTTATACTTACAACGGAGACATTGTGCATGGTATGGTTGATTCCGATGGCTGTTCGATAGAGATCCTGATATTCAGCTAACTGTAAGATGGAGATGAAATCATGGCAGAGAATGTGTGTCTGAGTCCACTTTAACAAAATCAAAGCTTCTTAAAATCGGCTTCAGATTATAAGATTTCGCTTTGAAAATACATTGTGATCACGTGTGGTACATCAACATTCAATGATGTATTCTTACAGACTATTGCAGTTACATGAACCGATATATGTTTGAGCGTGTAACACCATCAGGAACTTCCCCTTGACAAACTACAAGCCAGTATTTTCATCAACATCCCCATTAAAACATACTTGCAGAGGAGTGTTCTCAAGTCTGACGAGGAAGTTCTCATAGTCCCCTCGTGTGAAGAAAGGCGTGGCCTCCACATGGTGAACTGGGTCCACGTGTATTCCCTCCAGGAAATTCAGAGGATTGATTGACCCATATCTGCATACCATGGATAAACACATCAGTTACAGTCAAATTAGGACGTAAATTATAGCAGGTTTGGTAGGATTAACCACTGAAAAATATACCAACGCAAAGGTATACGACGGATAGTGCTTTAACAGACCAGCCGATACATTACATCTTGCCACCTTGAGATAATGTCAGTAAGATACATAGAGGGTAGTGGGTATATAATGCATAAACTAGTTCAAAAGAACTTTACAACAATATTATTTTCTTGAATCTCGATTCAAAAATATACGTGGCTGGACATCAGTCAAATTTGTCAAACTCTCGGGACACTAGGGTTGGCTAAAATGATCGATGATCGAATTAAAGAATTATCTATATGAAAATTATGGTATCGATAATACCATACATTACCTTTTGTGACAGAAAAACGTTTTGATTTTCTCACACAATATACAAATTTAAGACTTTATTCGTGGTCTGCTTCTTAATTATGTTCAAAGCGAGGTTTTGTTAATAATCCATGCAAGAAACAGTCACCACTAACCACTGATGTGAAATATATTCATTTCTTTTAGACATTTTTGGCATTTTTCCTCAAAGTTATGTCTCCGATATTTATCGGAAATCAAACGATACGTAGCTAACGATTATTGATCTCTATATTCTATATCGATAGCCAGCTCTACGAGAAAAGGCATCAAATTTGAAATCAATGTTATACCTTTTTGAAACATACTAGGTGGCGACAAAGCAAACCCCACCCGCTGTGTGCACACACACACCCAACCCACCTGCTCACAACCCACACCCGCTGTGTGCACACACCACCCACCTCCTCCACCTGCTGTGTGCACACACACACCCACCTCCACCCTCCACCTCCTCCACCCGCTGTGTGCACACACCACCCACCTCCTCCACCCGCTGTGTGCACACACCACCCACCTCCTCCACCTGCTGTGTGCACACACAACCCACCTCCTCCACCTGCTGTGTGCACACACAATCCACCTCCTCCACCTGCTGTGTGCACACACCACCCACCTCCTCCACCCGCTGTGTGCACATATCACCCACCTCCTCCACCTGTAGCCGCCCAGATAAGTCTCCAGCACATCCTTCAGGATGCGATAGTTTATCCGTTCCGTCTTACAGAGCTCTGACGCATCAATACGTTGTAAATCCTCTTTAAACGACAGAGCTATTTCCTGGAAAAGAACCAACATCGGGTACATGTATACAATTGCAGGAAGTGCTGAATATACGGTGTCGGCCCGGGAAAGCGAAATTTCAATATACTATTACAATAAAGGTATGTGCTTCAGGAGCCAGCTAACTGAGAGTAACTCATGCAGGTGTAGTCACATCTTACGGTCATGAACGTTGTTCTACTGGATCGTATAGTGGTTAACGTAGTAAACCGTAGCTTGATCGTAGTGCCACGTTACCACGCTGTACTACGGTCAACACAACGCTGCAGTGGGGTCAATTACGGTCTACTAGGGAAAGCTAGGGTCAACCACGTTCAAACTACGGTAACAGTAGGGTCTTGGCATTCAAGCTAACCGAAGGAATATTTTGAACATGTTGAGTTTTGGGGTCTAAATCACAGGTTTGCTGAAGTTCAAAGTATGGTCACATTACGCATAAATACGTCGAACTACGTTCAACTAAGGTCAAATACCGGTCTACTACGGTCCCCCACTGAGGTCAACTACGTGCGTGTCCGAAAGATGTGACAGCCGCTACTTTGACAAGACACACTTACTCTTCTTTCGTCCATGCGGGCGAGACTGAACGCCTGCAGTCTGTCGTTAAAGCGGTATGTGCCAGAGTAGGTGGCAAACTCGGGTGAATCCTCCAGCCGCCAGTCGTAGAACTCCTGCAGGAGGAGGTGGAGGGACTCAGTAGCATCACCTGGAGATTGATTCACCAGTGGACTCGTACCTCAATATTGATACTACTTGATGATAAGTCCTGTTGGAAGCTGATATAATGCATTTAGATTTCGGGAAATTGTTTATGCAGTTCCAAATTATGTTGCTGTGTGCCAACTAAATTTTCAACCAGACGCTTGTGTTCTTGTATGTTGTTTAACAATTTTAAAGCTATATGGCGGTGGTATGTAAGTAATCGTGTCTGGACAAGACAATCCAGTGATCAACAGCGTGAGCATCAATCTAGGTCATTGGGATACGATCACATGTGTCAACCAAGTCAGCGAGCCTGACTAGTGGTCTCTCTTAAAACTGAACAGTTTTACGTTGTTGTCTTACAATACATTAACGCTTTAGAAGGGTGTGTTGCAGTTTACATATTATACGCGGTGTGTGTGTGTGTGCGTGCGTGCGTGCGTGCGTGCGTGCGTGCGTGCGTGCGTACGTGCGAGCGCGCGCGCACATCCAAGAGATGCAGCTGAGGACTGAGTGGTGTTCGAGAGTCAGTTACAACCTACATGTACATGGTAGGATGTGAAGCCTATGACTGGACACTTACCTCGTACTGACATATGGCACGCTAGGTGGGACAGCACAACCACTATCTGGAATCTGAAGAATGTAATACATATAGCATATGTATTTTAGTAGAGAGTTCTGTCCTTTAATGTTTAGTACAGTCTTAATACATTTTGAATAACTCTACCTCGGTTTGAGATGAATTCCTGTTTGCCGCCATTGAACGCATTTGAGCAGCGGCCCTCCCTCCCTCTTCTCCAGGGTTGTGAGCAGCGGGCCTGTGGTGTGGAGATGAAAGGAACTATGTCCTTAACATTAACACGGATGTTCACCTCGACACCTAGATGTCTGCTTGATGCTGATAACATGCTGGAACACTAGTCCCCTAAGAGAGATAACTTGTGACTCTGGCCGTATCGGGGAGAGAGGGAGGGAGATGGGGTGGGTGTGTTTAGGGAGATAGATAAAGAGAGAGATATTTAGCTTAGTTTGTAACTTTACTTTTTACAAGATAACCGAGCAAAACCAGCTAGCTGCCTTATATTTGGTCGCTTTGACCCGGGCCAGATGACATTTAATCGGAATTAAAAAACAAGTCACCTATCTGCGCCAAATCCACAATTCCACTTCTCTCTTAGATGAAGGCACCATTTCGTGCGCTGTGGGGCACAGAATACCTATATTATCAACTGACTATAATCCAGCACCCTTCCGCCAGGCTGCCATAAACGTGCCAACAGATGTTTATATAATTCTTGCCCTATGTCCAGCTCTCTGACGACTCATCTGGTGCTCATATTAAACAAGCATACCTCACTTTAGGAGATGTGCGCGGCTTGTATCCTAATTCTATTCTGTGGGATTAGGTTCGCTCATAGAGTGCTGTGTTATCTTCAACTTGCTACCTTTATAATCTGTGAATAGTGTAGAGCTCGATTCTCTTATGCATCGTAGAGGCCGACATGGCTGGAGATGGCGACATATAAGTCGTCTATGCTGTAGATGTCGTTCAGGTTCAGCGACGGCGTTGCTTACGTCCGTGTCCGCGGCTGAACGTCCACAATACACATGTACATATGGCAGAGCAATAGCATGACATTAAGTGTTCTGCCATATGTTTACAACCACACAGGAGAAAGCCTGCTCTCGGAGCTCCTTACACACAGATAGCACGTGACTCAGCCATCAGTACCGCGGTCTGCCCACGCTTCGTGATGATGGACTACACGTGTGTGACCAATGATCATGCGACCTCCAGGAAGCAAGGCTACCAAAGTACATACATGAATGAGAATGTCCCAATACCATCTTGAGCGGGTCACATAGGCATGCCCATGGCCACATCGTGTTGCAGACTTCTTGACGTTGAGCTAGTTCAGCATGTATATACTGCGGGCTGAACATGTCGCTTTACGTGGGGTTACGTCATTTTCAGTGCATAAGCCCGGGTCTGCCTGTCTGGCGAAGATGGGCAGTTCAACACATCGCTTGCAGTGACATCTGACTGACTGACTGAGTTTAGTTTTACGCCGCTTTTAGCAATATTCCAGCAATATCACGGCGGGGGACACCAGAAATGGGCTTAACACATTGTGCCCATGTGGGGAATCGAACCCGGGTCTTCGGCGTGACGAGCCAACGCTTTAACCACTAGGCTACCCCACCGCCCCTAGTGACATCTGAAAATGCCCTGGTAGATATAGGGACCTTCACACGTCATCAACAATACGTCATCTTCACTGTAGTATTTATAGCCCCTGTAACCTAGTTACAGATGTACACATTGTTAAACTGATATAGCGGCTCCCCGTCAAGTGACTGCCGACTCTCACTTGTCTTGTAACCATGTGATCAAAACTCAGTGATTATGTTTATCGCAATGGATATTTCTTGAACAACGCACTTTGCAGGTTTTATCACTAACGTTGTATCTGGCAGAATGGCTTTTGTCACTTAAACACGTGCAGCTATCTTCACTAATATATAATTGCGATTTGTTATGATTTCCAGTGAAGACATCGATAATGTCGTACTGATAAGTGGGGCTCACGACAGTGTGTTCACAGAGTGTACATTTGTTGAAAACAAGGTATCACACATGTTGGAGTAGCAAGGAAAACCTCAAAGAAAAAAACTCATGAGCTTTGATGATTTGGTGGATGCGAATGTCCGAGAATCCACCATTCCTGATGTATAAAAGTCCCCGTAGGGTATTCCCCAACCTATAACATACGTGCCGTAAATAGCGGTGATGTTGCTGCTGCTGCAGCGGCGTAAAGCAATGGTTAATCTTAAATTAATGAAATATGCCACAATGTAACATTAAATTCTTACACGGCATAACGAAACCAAGCCAGCCAGTCCTTGTTTCATATCCTTTGTGCAAGCGCCAGGCATTGTAACAATAAGTACCGTTTTAACTCCCTCAGTATGTGTATGAGAGGGACGAGGTACCGAGTGAAATACGCCTGTGTATCACAACACGCAGAGAGTTATGTGCCATTGTATCACAACACGCAGAGAGTTATGGGACTTTGTATCAGTAGACACTGAGAGTTATGTGAATCTGTATCACTAGACGCAGAGAGTTATGCGACTTTGTATCAGTAGACACTGAGAGTTATGGGACTTTGTATCACTAGACACTGAGAGTTATGTGACATTGTATCACTAGACACTGAGAGTTAGTTATCACAACACGCAGAGTGTTCTGTGACTTTGTATCACTAGACACTGAGAGTTATGTGAATCTGTATCACCGACACGACTTTGTATCACTAGACACTGAGAGTTATGTGACATTGTATCACTAGACACTGAGAGTTATGCGACTTTGTATCACAACACGCAGAGTGTTCTGTGACTTTGTATCACTAGACACTGAGAGTTATGTGAATCTGTATCACTAGACACTGAGAGTTATGCGACTTTGTATCACTAGACACTGAGAGTTATGTGACTCTGTATCACTAGACGCAGAGAGTTATGCGACTTTGTATCACTAGACACTGAGAGTTATGTGACTGTATCACTAGACGCAGAGAGTTATGCGACTTTGTATCACGAGACACTGACAGCTATGTGACTTTGTATCAGACTAGCCACTGACAGCTATGTGACTTTGTATCACTAGACACTGACAGCTATGGATTTCCATGACAGATGATTGAAATCACCAGGTACTGAGAGTTAGTGTGACTTTGCAACATCGGCTACAGAGATATACGACGATACTACGTCGTCATTTACACACGATTCTTTAGGGTACTGTGACTTCAAATCACTAATCGCATTCCTATGCACGGATATAATCAGCAGTTGGCTCAGACAAGATTACTTCAGCTGTAATGATTCAATCTCTTCCAGCACCGCTACTCGCTGTGCCACACTCTCCAAACATTGCACATACCAGTGTGGTTCCATGTGGGAGGCGTGCAACATCGCCGGGGACAGAACGATTCACCTAAATTACGTGTTCCTCACAAGTCAGTAGATCAGGGATACATCACTCAGTGCGGGCGAGATAACTTTGCCTCTTTCTACCTACTAACCGAAATACTGGCTCTGACGAATGCCTATTTCCAACATGACAGCTATTCCTGGGTGTGATCTGTGCAGCATGTGACTCAAGCATGTCGCGCTATTTACATATTCTCATGGAGCGATCATATTGTACTGATATGTGTCTGTCTGTCTGTCTGTCTGTCTGTATGTGTTTGTGTGTGGATTTTGATTTGTGTACTTGTTTTTGTGTACGTGTGTGCATTTGTGCATGTATCAGGGGTGGTAATAACCCATTGCCCGACGCCCGAGTCCAGTGTTTTTTTCTGTTGGGCAAGCAAATTTGTGTATCACACTGTACCGGTGTCCAGTTGACTTTCCAATATTAATGTGTTGTTTATTTAAAAAATCAACAAGAAAACGGCCGGTATAGTGGGAAAATTATCAGGGCAAGTGATTTTACATGTGCCACTGTACCGGAGTACAGTAGCAATTTTAAAGTTATTTCCACCCCTGAATGTATGTGTGTGATTGTTCATGTGTATGTGTGTGTCAGTATGAGGATGATGCAACTAGTATTTGATGAACTCGCGCCATTCTCGAGGGATGCAGGCCTGTAGCATCTACCACAGCGGGTAGTAATGTGACTTTGCATCATAATGCACTTTGGCCAATTAGATGCATAGTCAAGGGAGGTAAAATGTGTTGTAACCTGGTGTTTATTGCACCTATACAGCCACGCACATGCATGTGTATGCGCGTGTTTGTGTGGATGATGCAACTACCAGTGAAGGCAAGCCCACCGACGCCAACCTCTCGCTAATATAAGCTCTGATCTCTGTCCAGAAATTTGGTGATTAAGAAACGCTATTATCCATTTTCTCACTTGAAAACAAAAATCACACTTTTAGTGAGTCTGAAAGAATTAACATATACTATTCACGTCACTCTCTATATGAACTAAAAATAAGGTCTCAAAGGTTATTTGAAACAGAGATTGTTTTAACTAATTATATGCATGAACATAATTCTGGCAGGTAACATTAGTAAGTTTATTTCTACTATGACAGTGGCAGACTGCAGGAGTATTTCACATGGGACACTGGAGTATGCGAAATCAGAATGATAAAGAACATATTCATGTAGACTAACAACTATTTTAGTCTCTGAAATGAACATATTTTACTGAAAAAAGTTCATAGAAAAAAAAATATATATATGTAATGAAAAGGAGCCCTGAGACGTTCTTCATTTACTTGCCACATTTTTTAGACTTGCGTGGCCTTTCTTGGATATATTTGCTTCAGGGTCTGTACGACAGACTAATATTCATGTTTCAGCACTAGACATAGACGCTCACACCGCCAGTTACAAAAATACTCATTCAGAATAGGTATAGATGCCAAATATCACTTACCTATATCCCTCCATGACTGCTGGACTCACTAACTGTAGACACCTCGGCCGCTGCAAGATACACCAGATCTGCCTCACAACAACCTCTGTTGTAAAAGAATCCAAGACCTCAAGTCTCGGACAACTTTATAAGCCGCATAGTGAAACCCGTATGATTCACATGAAACTGTCAAGTCCTCGGTCGGATTAATAGTCAACAAAGGGACATAACTGGTGCTGGAAGTGATCAAATTGTCTATGTCAATCAAAAGATCAATTATGCTTCTCCTGTGGGCGGTGATACAGGAGAGGTACGATGTAAGATATAATATCCTGTATGATATGAACGTTTTTGAATAAACATTTAAAACATGTTTATTTTACCTCAGTATTTATTTATGTACTATCTGTTTGGGTTTCTGTCGAATCGGCTGCTGATGCAACGAGTGGGCATAATGATGAAACAGGTCACGTGGTGTGGGCTGTTCACATTGCCATGTACAGTGTGCCTGGACGAGAATATACATTGGGGAAGATTGGCATGAGCTCACAGATAAGAAGAACATGTCACCAAAACTGTTCTGAAATCTTGGTATTTCTTGTAGTCTGAAATTTGCAACAAATATTGAAGAGAGAGTCTTTATTCGTGTTATTCATTGACTGATAAACACATAGTTAACTAGATCATGGTTTTAGTGTGAGCTGTGTTAGTTATAAACATAAGTGCATGTTCTGAGGAAATCGATCCTAGTTAGCTGAAGTACTGGTCGCGATGTTTTGTATCTTTGATAAGGCTGACGGAGTGATGCAGCCGAAACTCCCCATGTACTTGGCGGACGCACAGAAACACACGCATTAACACAAATAGACGCATAAATACTTTACTTTGAACATCATACGACGCCGAATACTCTGTCTAACATATCAGTATGGTGATGTGATCGACTAACACAATCACGTGATATAGTCGGAACCGTACACTCATCATCACCATCATCATCATCAACTGTCTTTGCATACAGATATATTCAACGAGAAACGTCAATAGTAAATAAAGCAACATCTTTACCTCATGTGCAGTGGTCCGGCAGTGTATTTCATATTAACTGAAATTAGGGCATTCATAGCTCAGTAATGTGTGGACTTTACAAACAATAAATGTGAAGTCTCAACATGGTTCTTGACTATAAATAGATCGGAGGCAGGACCAGTGTTAGTTTGTGAAACATACGTCCTAACCCTCTAACCTAGTGCTCAGTCGCGCTATTTAGTGTTTTATAAACATACTTTGTCGTCCACGCATTGATAATTAGAGAGTGTGTGGAGGAACTGACCTTCCTGCGACATATGCATTCACATATACAACACAAACATAGGCCAGTGCCTGAGTGCGACTAGTTACACGGAAGTCACACTTCAGGCAGAACTTGTGCCTGAGTGCGACTAGTTACATGGAAGTCACACTTCAGGCAGAACTTGTGCCTGAGTGCGACTAGGTACATGGAAGTCACACTTCAGGCAGAACACGTGCGTGAGTGCGACTAGGTACATGGAAGTCACACTTCAGGCAGAACACGTGCGTGAGTGCGACTAGGTACATGGAAGTCACACTTCAGACAGGACACGTGCTTGAGTGTGATTAGTGTTTGCATATGTTTATGAAATTTGCCAGGATGCGCACCTCTTTTCTCGAACGTCTGGCATCATCACTGTCATGGTATCTTATTAAGTCACCACTGGATTGTCCGATCCAGGCTCGATCAATTACAGACCGCCGACATACAGCTGCACTAAAGTGGCTTAAAACACACAAACAAATACATGCTAATCACATAGTCATGGAAGTCAGACAGTACATATACGGGAGCATGACTTACATGGAAGTCAGACAGGACATATACGGGAGCATGACTTACATGGAAGTCAGACAGGACATATACGGGAGCATGACTTACATGGAAGTCAGACAGGACATATACGGGAGCATGACTTACATGGAAGTCAGACAGGACATATACGGGAGCATGACTTACATGGAAGTCAGAAGTCAAGGACAGGACATATACGGGAGCATGACTTACATGGAAGTCAGACAGGATACATACGGGAGCATGACTTACATGGAAGTCAGACAGGACATATACGGGAGCATGACTTACATGGAAGTCAGACAGGACATATACGGGAGCATGACTTACATGGAAGTCAGACAGGACATATACGGGAGCATGACTTACATGGAAGTCAGACAGGACATATACGGGAGCATGACTTACATGGAAGTCAGACAGGATACATACGGGAGCATGACTTACATGGAAGTCAGACAGGACATATACGGGAGCATGACTTACATGGAAGTCAGACAGGACATATACGGGAGCATGACTTACATGGAAGTCAGACAGGACATATAGCATGACTTACATCAGACAGAAGTCAGACAGGACATATACATACGGGGAGCATGACTTACATGGAAGTCAGACAGGACATATACAGGAGCATGACTTACATGGAAGTCAGACAGGATATCATACGGGAGCATGACTTACATGGAAGTCAGGACAGCATGACTTACATGGAAGTCAGACAGGACATATACGGGAGCATGACTTACATGGAAGTCAGACAGGACATATACGGGAGCATGACTTACATGGAAGTCAGACAGGATATATACAGGAGCATGACTTACATGGAAGTCAGACAGGACATACGGAGCATGACTTACATGGAAGTCAGACAGGACATATACGGGAGCATGAAGTCAGACAGGACATATACATGGAAGTCAGCATGACTTACATGGAAGTACATGGAAGACAGGATATATACATGGGAGCATGACTTACATGGAAGTCAGACAGGACATATACGGGAGCATGACTTACATGGAAGTCAGACAGGACATATACGGGAGCATGACTTACATGGAAGTCAGAGACAGGACATGATACATGGAAGTCAGCATGACTATACATGGAAGTCAGACAGGACATATACGGGAGCATGACTTACATGGAAGTCAGACAGGACATATACGGGAGCATGACTTACATGGAAGTCAGACAGGACATATATGGGAGCATGACTTACATGGAAGTCAGACAGGACATATACGGGAGCATGACTTACATGGAAGTCAGACAGGGCACACGTGGGAGCATTGACTTACATGGAAGTCAGACAGGACATATCGGGAGCATGACTTACATGGGGCCAGACAGGACATGTCTTACAGGGAGCATGACTTACTGGAAGTGACAGTCACACCTCAGACGGGACACACGTGTGAGCATGACTTACATGAAGTCACACCTCAAATACGGGAGATGACACATGTGATACGGGAGCATGACTTACATGGAAGTCAGACCTCAGACGGGATATACGTGGAGTGTGACTTATCGAAGTCAGACCTTGTGGTCACACCTCAGACGGGGCACACGTGTGAGTGTGTCTTACCTTATCGTCACACCTCAGACGGGACACACGTGTGAGTGTGTCTTACCTTGTGGTCACACCTCAGACGGGGAACATATGTGCGTGTGTTTACTTGGATGTCACACCACGTCTACACTTCATGTTACACAGGTATCTACAGCTCCAGCTAAAGATTACATCACAGCTATCTACAGCTCCAGCTATACATTACAACACAGGTATCTACAGCTCCAGCTATACATTACAACACAGGTATCTACAGCTCCAGCTATACATTACATCACAGGTATCTACAGCTCCAGCTATACATTTATACATTGTATACACACAGGTATCTACATCTTGAGCTCCAGCTACATTACAACACAGGTATCTACATTCCAGCTATACATTACAACACAGTATCTACATTGTACATTTCAGCTATACCAACACAATTATCTACATTACAACACAGGTATCTACAGCTCCAGATATACATTACAACACAGGTATCTACAGCTCCAGCTATACATTACAACACAGGTATCTACAGCTCCAGCTATACATTACAACACAGGTATCTACAGCTCCAGCTATACATTACAACACAGGTATCTACAGCTCCAGCTATACATTACAACACAGGTATCTACAGCTCCAGCTATACATTACAACACAGGTATCTACAGCTCCAGCTATACAATACATCACAGGTATCTACAGCTCCAGCTATACATTACAACACAGGTATCTACAGCTCCAGCTATACATTACAACACAGGTATCTACAGCTCCAGCTATACATTACAACACAGGTATCTACATCTCCAGCTATACATTACAACACAGGTATCTACAGCTCCAGCTATACATTACAACACAGGTATCTACAGCTCCAGCTATACATTACAACACAGGTATCTACAGCTCCAGCTATACATTACAACACAGGTATCTACAGCTCCAGCTATACATTACAACACAGGTATTAGTCTGTCTCACAGTCCCTGAACCACATTATTTTCCCTACAGCCTAGCCTTCCCTGTAGTGCTAAAGCCCTAAACGAAGCAAGTCTAGATTTCCCAATCTCTGGTCTCCCTAGGGCTCCTTTTCAATTTAAATGGGCTTGTTTGTTACTATCAAAATTATATATATTCAGAGACTAAGCCTTAGTCTACACAGGTATCTACATCTCCAGTTACACATTACAGCACAGGTATCTCCAGTTATATTCAACACAAATTGACACATCACATTCGATTTCTCAAATCGTTTTTCTTTATTTGCGTTTGTTTAGCTGTACGCCCGTCTTACTAATCTTCACTAATACGGGCCAGGGTATGTATTTCTTACAAGAGGGCATCTGCGTCCTGGAAATCTGGCTCGACTCGGCTGGATGACACTGTGGGCCTTACAATGACGTCCTGTGGAGTATGTGGTCTGTGACACAGACTGAAGTGCGCCATGCCGCCCATGTGGTGTCTACACTACAGTTCTCTCCCCTTCATGGCGTAGGATCAGAAGCATTTTCCTATGAAGGTGTCATTTCATGGAAGTACACGCCAGACATCTGCTGATGTTATTGAAGGTTTCAGAATCAGTGCTGTTGTGCAAATGTATGATAGTTATTGTACTGTACTTAACCTTCCCACTACACGTAGTCTAACGCCCTCCGGTGTCCTTTCAACATCTGGTGTGAATCACCATTCATTTACACTGTATTTCAAATGAAATATTTGTTTCTATCTGTGCACAACTTTGAATGAAGATATGTGCATATGCGCAACATATGTGTTCATGTCAGGGTTGTAACCGTCAAACTGTACACGCGTCGTCATGCTTCACACACACGCCGTAATGCTGCACACAC